ATTACATTATTTGTGTGTGTGTGTGTGTGTGTGTGTATTTCTGTGGGTTAAATTAATTAACATCTGTCTCTCCTTCCTCTCCTTCCACACCTTTTTTTCTCAGTTCTGGGAGGTGATCAGCGATGAGCATGGCATTGATCCCACCGGTACCTACCATGGAGACAGTGATCTGCAGCTAGAAAGGATCAGCGTCTATTACAATGAGGCCACAGGTAAAACTACAGATTCAGCTATAATACACAACAGAGGAAACTGAGCCATCTGTTGTCCTCCCTTGCTTACCCAGCTCTCCTACAACGCAAAAATATTTGCATCCAAGTGTTTTACATGAACCGCATCACGCTACAACAACAAGTTTGTAAAGATTTCTCCAGGAATGACATTGTTGATCCATTTTACATGATTTCAGGTGGAAAGTATGTGCCCAGAGCCATCCTGGTGGATCTGGAGCCTGGTACAATGGATTCAGTCAGATCTGGTCCCTTTGGACAGATCTTCAGACCTGACAACTTTGTCTTTGGTAAGCTATGTGAATTTAGTTGGACGCACTTACATGTAATCATATCAGAATTATGTGTGTTGATTTGTTTCTGTCGTCCCCCATAAGAATAGCTCACCTGTGTTACAGTGAACTGTGATATTCTTGACTACAGGTCAGAGTGGAGCCGGGAACAACTGGGCCAAGGGCCACTACACTGAGGGAGCCGAGCTGGTGGACTCCGTCCTGGATGTAGTGAGGAAGGAGGCTGAGAGCTGCGACTGCCTCCAGGGCTTCCAGCTCACTCACTCCCTGGGTGGCGGTACTGGCTCTGGCATGGGCACGCTGCTCATCAGCAAGATCCGCGAGGAGTACCCCGACCGCATTATGAACACCTTCAGCGTGGTGCCTTCTCCCAAGGTGTCTGACACTGTGGTAGAGCCCTACAACGCCACTCTCTCTGTCCACCAGCTGGTAGAGAACACAGATGAGACCTACTGCATTGACAATGAAGCTCTCTATGACATCTGCTTCCGCACACTTAAACTCACCACCCCCACCTATGGAGATCTCAACCATTTGGTGTCTGCCACCATGAGCGGCGTGACCACCTGTCTGCGTTTCCCCGGCCAGCTCAACGCCGACCTCCGTAAACTAGCTGTCAACATGGTGCCCTTCCCCCGTCTGCACTTCTTCATGCCAGGCTTCGCCCCCCTCACCAGCAGAGGCAGCCAGCAGTATCGCGCCCTGTCTGTGCCCGAGCTCACCCAGCAGATGTTCGACGCCAAGAACATGATGGCTGCCTGCGACCCACGTCACGGCCGCTACCTCACCGTGGCCGCGGTGTTCAGGGGCCGCATGTCCATGAAGGAGGTGGATGAGCAGATGTTGAATGTGCAGAACAAAAACAGCAGCTACTTTGTTGAATGGATCCCGAACAATGTGAAGACCGCCGTCTGTGACATCCCACCGCGTGGCCTCAAAATGGCTGCCACTTTTATCGGCAACAGCACGGCCATCCAAGAGCTGTTCAAGCGCATCTCTGAGCAGTTCACCGCCATGTTCCGCCGTAAGGCCTTCCTCCACTGGTACACCGGTGAGGGCATGGATGAGATGGAGTTCACAGAGGCCGAAAGCAACATGAACGACCTGGTGTCCGAGTACCAGCAATACCAGGATGCCACCGCTGAGGAGGGCGAATTTGAGGAAGAGGGAGAGGAGGAAGTCGCCTAAAACCTCAGCCTACCCAGCTGTAAAATCTAATTTTCCCTTACCCATCCCCCAACTCCACCCGGCTTACTTTCATCCCTCTCCATCATTAAATGAATGGTCTGCCACACTCGTCAAAATGGTTACCATCTAGATCTCTGCTGCTCTAGTGTTAGACATGGATGTTAACTGATACTAGTGATGTTTTTGGTTCAAATGTTTTTGTATGTTGTGAACGCTCTGAAATATTGCCATCCTTACATTTATCCCGTCATTGACTTGCGGTATTCTAAAGCAAGCGATTTTAACTGTGAAGCCTTGAAATTAGAGGATGATTAAAATCTGATTAAAAGGCCATTTTTACTGACTCTGAGTTTTTATTGATTGATCTTACTGCACTATTACTGTCTTGAAGTTTTGCAACTTGCCAACAAGGGAAGTAGTTCTCAACCTGAGGTTTAAACATGTTTTTGCTTGCCTCTTGTATTTAAATATTGAACAGTTAGTAGACTGTAAATCTCTTACTTACAGGACAATTAATCTAAAAAGGGAAAAGATGTTGAAGGTGAAACCCAGAAAAATGAATGACATGTTTGCAGTCAGGGAGTAGCCACAGGTACTACTACTCTTGTACTGAACATCACAATGGTCTTTCAATCTAAGACCAGTAATGAGATGTCAACCAATATCAAATTAAATTTCACACTGACTCATACATTAGGAATCAACATTGAGGAGTATTTAACATAAAAGCAATAGATGTCATGATTATTGTAAATTAATTCAAAATTGTACCAGTGGAAAGACACAGTCAGGAAACAGACTAACCCAGTAAAACTAACCCAGTTCCTGTGGATAAGTAAGGAATAAATTATTCTTAAGACATTTTAACACAAAATTGTGAAACCAGTCTGGGTTGTTTATATAAGCTCCACCTTTTCTGTGCCAATAATCAGCTGAACTGTAGATATGATTCTCCAGTACTGTGAGTCAGTAACTGGCAATCTAGCTCTAAGAGTGTGCGGATGGTAGGAAAAAACTACTTTAATTACATATATATGCATTTTCTTTATTCTCCTTCCTTAGTTCCTTAAAATCAGCTGATGGGGGGGGGGGGGGGGCTGAATGTGGGGACCTTCCCAGACTTACTTACAATATTGTCGTTTAACATTCACCACTGACTGATTTCGAATAATATAAATACCTGTACATAAAACATATGTATGTATGTACATCTCTATTTACATTTTTTCATTGCAAGATAACAGAGAGACTAACAGTGGCTTCAGTGTTTCAGTGACTTTCTCCGGTACAGTCTGACAAGTTGTGGCAGAAACTTTTCACTCTCTCTGACTAACAGACCCTGCATAGCTGTTTTATCACCCTACAGTAAGACTTACACAAATACACAAATATGGACTTGTTTCAAATGTCCCCAATGTTTACCAATGATTTGGATATGGTATATATTCAATTACATAAAATGTCTCCCTGCTTCATGACCAAATTTTATTTTGACTGGGATTGTATACAGTCAATATAATCATACATTAGAACAGGATGATATCCTCAGAGATGCTATTAAACAGTCTCAATGCTTAGAACTTTAATTACTCAACTATTTTTTATTTATTTGACAACAGCAGAAACAAGTGACATTGTAAAACACATCTGCTTGATTATGATGCACTGTGTACTGCATTGTTGATCTGATGAAATTATGGACAATTTGAAATAATGTGACTTTAAATTAGTTTGCTTACTTAAGGAATAATTGTAAACAATCGCTTGCTTTTGGTCAGTTTAATTTGTCAGTATAACCTAATTTTTAGCTGTCTTAATAACACTCATTATTGGGCTAAAATTACTCTCACTATCTCAATTTTAAATGCAATGGACTCATCAGAACTCTCAGAGGTAAAAGTTTGAGGTAAAAGATCTGTTTTTTTTTTTCAATCGTTTTTGCCGGTAACATTAATTCATTATAGACTGGATCAAATCAACTACAGCTACATGGTAAATGGTATATTAAGGCAACTGAAACAAAAAAAAAACATCTCTAAACTAAAATTATTAGTGGTGATAAAATACTGTTTCATTTGTGCAGAAGAAATGTTCAAAACCTCCTTGAAATGTTGAAATTGTCCTTAAAATCCACTAGATCCAAACATCCAGGTGCATTTTCGTCATGCAGGAACCATCCAGAGCTTGTTGAGAAACACAGGGAGATTTTCTTTCATTGATCAGCTCAAGGCAGAGAGCTTTGTCACACAGGAACGCTGTCATGCAAACGTTTGCAGCCTGTGTCCTTACAGGAGTTTGTACAAAACGTACAGCACAAAATCTTAAATTAGTCTTTCCTCCTTTGGTAACTTTAGTGCATCTGGTGTCGTCACACTGCTTGCACCGGACTGCTCCTCAGCACTGGGTCTATACGTCCCTTCAGTCTGTCTCTTCTTTTTCACCACGAGGAGGAGCCAGGCGAGAACAGCCAAGGCTATGGCCAGAACACCCAAGATGACCGTAGGGGCTACAATAGCTGCAATGTTGGGTCCCTACAAATGGAACAAAATACAGGACAGTAATGAAGCTGGTGACACTGGATACTTTCGGTTGCCATTTAATGGTCATAATAAAGATGTTTTACTCACACTAGTAGTATTAGAACGGGTTTCACTTTCAACAGCAGTATAATTCCCTGTGAAAAGAGCAAAACCGTCAGGAACACCATTGAAACAATGCAAATGCAGGCTTATTCTAACAACTTGCATCTGTATACTATCTCCTAACTGCAGTTAACCTATTTGGGCTCTCCAGTAGCTAAAAAAAGTTTAGTTAACCAATAATCTAGGATTTCTTTAACTAGTTGTTTAATTGATGAATGCATGTAAACTTGAGTCCTTGCTAGCACATGTATCCAATGTATGCCTTGATACATGTTTCTTAGGGTAATCTGGTTAAATTTAAATGAATAATTAAACATTTTGCAAAGACTCAATCCACTCAGGGACACATGTTAGTTCCTGGACCCCAGTTTAATAACCACTGCTGACATTGGGCGGGGGTGGGGCACACTCTGGACAGGTTGCCAGTGAACAAATGAGATATAAGGTCCTGGAAGGCAGGTTTTTTTAACCTTCAAACATCGCCAAGATAGCTGTTTCCTTGTTTCCAGTGTCATTGCTAAGCGAAGCTAACACACTCATATCAATCTTCCCATCTAGCTCTTGGCAAGAAAGTGAATATTTACAAAAATATCAAACCTTTCCTTTAAGTTTAAATGTTAACAAAGTCACTGAAAAATGCAGAGGGATCTTTAAAGTGTTGTTGGGTAAATAAGTACAAAATATGTTTGCACTTTATTGGGTGCGTTGTGACCGTCACTCTGCACCTTCCAAAAGATTAAAGAAAAGACACACAAACTGTGTAACTGACTCAACTGACTTGTACAAACTGACTAGTTACCGGTTAAGTGAGTAACGGGAGGCCGCTCTGAACCTACAATGAGCATTAAAACTGTGCAGTTTATTCACATTCAATTTAAACTTCTTTTTTTAAGGCAGTGGTGCCATTATTTTACACAAGTAGAAAAAAGAGGAAGCGACAGTCCAGCAGAAGTAGCTTTCAGTCTCATGCACACTTTTCAGGGCAACTGACACAAAACGCAGCATACCAGATATCCAGTCATGTTATCCATGACCAGCCAAGTGATTCCTCAGGGACATCACAAAACTACATATTAACCTTTTCGACTTGAATGAAGAATGAGGAGGAGGAGAAGCTCAGGAATGCAGAGTGTACAGTCAGCTGAGTCGAACAAGGCGCCTGTTTGAAATGAGTAAAAAACTCACATCTATTGTTTCTTTCTTTTTGTTAAGCGTTACAAAGGCGCAGATAATCACTTATACCACAATAAGGAGGTTTTGCTATGAAAATATATACCCCCCTTATCATTTTCTGAGTCAATCATTCACTTGGGTAAATAGTAAACTTTACAAGGACACAAGTACAACTTGATAAAGCAGGGGTTACATGAGGGGCAGCCATTCCAAAAACAAAAAAAGCTGAATGTTTTGAATCAAATTATTTTGTGTAATTACTGATAAGCTAAAACCAGATATAAATACACCTCTTCCTCTCTTAAGGCAGAGTGTTTCTTAATTAATTTCTTAGTCTAATGCTCTTACAACATCCTGACAAGCCCGTGCATGTTTCAGACTCGGCAATGATCTCATGTTTTTTTATTAGTTTATCACTGCAGAATTTAACAGCGGTTATCTATGTCTGTGTGTGTGTGTGTGTGTGTGTGTGTGTAGGTGTGGTCAGAAGGATGTCTGTCTTATTTGTGTGGGAGTGTGGACGATGAAGGTATGGTTTACTGACTCACCCCACACTGGATTACTGCTTAGTACCAGCAGTAAAACACCACCAACCACAACTCCAGGTATGGCTGGCACATCCAGACCCGCTGCCATCGCTACCTGTGACCAGCAGGGCCAACTGGGGGCAGAATGGGACTTTGGGGCATCAGCTTGGGTCCATTTCATTAGGTCCAACATTCACTGTGTGGATTTATCGCCTCCCTTGAACAGCTGCAAGACACATTATTGTCATTAATGTAAGACCAATGTTGTTGTTCTTTTACACTTTGAGTTCACTTTGACACTCATATAGACTCACTGGACCTGAGGTTGAGTCAGGAGACTAACACCATACAACCACTGAGTCACATATTCAGCCTGCTGTTGAATCACCATTAAAACCTGCCCAGACCAGAGGAATATAATAAGCTAATAATAGCATATAAAAACTAAAAACAGCATTAAGGTTCAACCCCTTCTAGTTTGCAACATATTATTATCTTCTAAAAAGGAAGAAGACAACATGTTTTAAAGTTTATGTTGGACACATACCCTTAGGCCGTTTTCAGGTGTTTGAAGCAAAACGGGAAACATGGAGCAGGTTGATTCTTTACGCACGAACCATGTTGCTTCCGCCTCACCTTGTCAAAAATGAAACCGCAACAAATGGTTTAGTCCACTGAGAAATGACAGGTAACATCTTAAGACAACAAAAAAAAAAAAAGGTTCACCGTGCCACTGAAATACTTGAATGGACCCCTGTAGGTCACCGGACTACATCCTCGACTGCGCTACCAGTTGGTCTTTCATGTAAAGTAGTTTTTTTTTCACATCGCCATTGGTCACATGGTTCAGTTTCGTATTACATTACCTGAGCGCAGTTATCCACCTGCAGCAGAGCGCACAGATACTCCTTTGTGCAAACTCGACGAAAAACGCAGCCTACTGAAGCAGAGCGGAGCCGATTCCTCCTGTTGCCACTGAAAAAATAGACTATATATTATCTAAAAATAACTTTGATCACCTGTGTGTCACATTATGCCTCATTTCCGCCTGACACTCCATTTCAAGTGAACTTTGTTTGAATAATCCATGGTGCCAATTTACTCCTATTTGCTCCAACCTGCAGCAGTACAATGTTTTGACTGTACTCGGTGCCCAGCTCTTACCTAGCAACCTGGGCTGAGGCATGAATGGTGGTGGAGGCATGAAATAGCGCCTCCGCCAGGTTTCATGTTACTCAACATGTGAAAGGATATCAACATTCCTGAGATATTTTAAGGATGAATTCGGCGGTTCCAGCTGGTCCAGTGGGCTCTAATCCTCACCTAATCTCCCCTTCTCAGACTCAGAGGGGCAAAGAAAATGTAGGCTGCTTCAGGCTTAATCTGCGGTGGTCAGATAGTTTTCATTAGGACTGTGTGAGAGCAGTCAGGCGTTTTCTGAAAAGCAGAGTGCTGCTGTGGAAAATTACTCCTATAATACAGCAGTGGGTCAGTCTGTGGAGATGCTTAAGAGCAAACCATTTGTGTGTGCCCCTGTGGGTTTGTTTGTTTGTGTTTTGACTGTCTTACAGTATTGTATGTATGTTCAGTATGCTAATATAATATTCAGGAATGATATGTTGCTGTGGGATTTACAGTATTCTTGTGAGAGTAGACAGATTGTGAGTCAGGGACTAGTTAACTGATGGTGTAACTCTATATTAATGCATAAGAAATGAGGTGGGCAATGATGGTAATACTAGGAGCTGAAAATATGGCCCACTGAATTACTAAATTCTATGGTATTTCATTGGTAATAGGTCATTAAATTTAATAATAGTTCATTAAATTAGAAAATGGAAAGCCCACAAGCATGATTTTCACTGTATTAAATGAAGAAAACCTATGAACTAGTAATATATTTTGCTGTGTTTTCTATTTATAAATGTATTTGTATGTCTTCTTTTTTCAGAATCGTCTAAGTCAGTCACTGCTGGATCAGATAATGGCATATTTTTGTAGATCACATTCAACCAGTCTATACATTTTTAGCTGTGTGATTATGATTCCTCTCCCTGGTGTACAGAGTTGTCCTCTGTTTCTAAGCAGTATGGACATTTTACTAGAGAAAGTCTGATTTGAGCAGTCGTCCCATGACTGCAGAAATATGGTTTACACAGGGTGTGGAAATGTCACATGTGCAATGACAGTCAAGTCAATAGTCTTGCAATAAATATTTGTGAAGCTCACACATACCAATTTCTGTTCAGTAGAGACGTTTCAAGACTATTTTTAATGTACTGTGCAGTGTTGTATCATTGCTTTAGGCTATATTGTGAAATATGCATGTCTTCCTGGGGTGGGACACCTCAACGTTTCTTCTTTTTTTATTGCACCTCCCAGCCCAAGGTAACTATGTGGAACTGTGGCAAAATACCTGCAACATATAGATTGACCTGAGAGTTGATAGATCAAAGGTTTATGTCAGGTTGCAAAAATACTTTAAACTAAAAAGTGCTTTGGGCAGTCAGGACAGAAATTATTTGTTTATGGCTCAAATAGTTTGTTATTAGCTCAGGCCTCCCTCACCTTGCCACTAAGGGGCGGTAGAGACACTTTGCCTTTCCATAGATGGAGGCGCATACTCTGTTTTGTACACGCCGCTTGCCGTAGGCGCGGTGAAGCCTGGGTAGGACACTGAAAGCGGCGGGAGAGCGGCACATCTATCCTCAAATTTAACAAAAACCGAGTTATACTGAACATTAACCGAGTGAGAAGAGTGCATTTAGGTGTAATTCAGGGTTAAGTTTGGTCAAATCAAAGGTGTTTGGCAGGTAATGCTGTAAAGTGCCTGTGTCGTTGTACTGTTGCTTTGAAGCATTCCCCGGGAAACTGGTTTGAACGTTTTGTTTTTGGTTAGCCTCTTTTTTTTTTTTTCCTTTTTCTTGTGAAGCGCTTCAGCAACAATGGCGAAGGTACAGGTGTTGAATGTGGCTGTTCTGGACAACCCGAGTCCTTTCGGAAACCCTTTTCAGTTTGAAATAACATTTGAGTGTATGGAGGACCTCCCCGAAGGTAAGTACCATCGCAGAATAAAGTCTGTGAGTGTGTGTGTGTGAGTGAGTGTGAGTGTGTGTTTGAGGCCAAAGCGTAGTTCAGTAGCTGTAATGTAGAGATTGCTAACGGCTAATGCTAGGTTAGCTGCTGTTACATTACAACTTCTTCTCCGTTAATAGTAACGTTACAAGGCAGATGATAGCAAAAGTAATGTTGCACAGCCTGGCTAAATGTGTCCCCCCCCCCCCC